GATCTGAATTGTGTCCAACTGCCTGGGATCCATTATCGATTCTTGTGACCTGCTGTCTGCCCTTGGAGGAACATTGAAATTGTACTGTCAGGGCGAGCCTCGCTAAGATGAATAGCAGGAGACGAGTTAATGTTTCCAGCATGCTCTAAGACATTGCGCAGGGCAGGGAGGAACTGGGCAAGGGGCCCAGGGAACAGGCGAGAGACATCTGCCCCAGTGCCTGGGAGCCCTTCGATCACTAGGGCAAAGAGCTGTCTGCTCCCTGGAGCTTCCCAGGGAGAGGAAGGATCCCCTGAGCCAGGCCTCCAGCAACCCAAACATCTGCATCTTCCTATTGAAGTCTGGAGCTGGGCCTGGGACAAACCCATACTCCAGTTTCCACACCTACAGATTAGGGCTATTGTATGCTCTCCTGACTTTGCTTAGAAGATTAAGTAGAAGAGCACAGCACACGGCTTTACTTATTAAGCTTCTAGAATGTGCTGGCCTCAACTCAAGTGTGTGATAAGAAGCTGCAATAGTGAATTCAACACACTCATCCGGGGCTGTCCATGCAGACACCCTCTCCACCACTAGTTTCTGAAAACAGGCTTCTGCATTTTCTGGGACCACAGGTCAAATGAATAAAAGATGGGTTTCTAGGGCCAGCCATTGTGGCACACACCTTTAATAACAGCAGAGGCAGGCAGATCTGAGTTCGAGGCCAGTCTGGTCTACTTAGTGAGTTCCAAGCCATCCAGGCCTATATAATAAAACCGTGGTTTTTGTTTTTGTTTTTAAAACTGGTCTTCTAGAATCCACGGTGACTTTGGTGGCCACGTGGTCAGGTGTTTGGAATGCATACATGGCCCTATGAGGTGTGCCATCCAGTGCCACTGGCTCTATGAACAAGAGCTTCTGAGTCCCACTCTGACTTAAGATAAAGGTGAACTGGGTTTGGAAAATATTGGAAACCTATGACTGGAGGGGGTGGATCTGCCGTGGTCACCTTGTCTTCTGTCAAGCGTCCCGTTCCGAGTATGTGGCTCCACAGCCCTGCCCAATCCCACGGGAACCAAACATACCGATGGTACAGGTCATGGCACCCACATGCCGAGGCTGGGCCTGGAGGGACCTCACTGGCTGCTCAGCGATACCTATTCCTGGACAGTCCGGTGTTAGCCTCTCCTGGACTCGTGTGTGAGAGACAGCTCTATACTCCTGCAGGGCCTGCCACTGCCCCAGCTCCCTCAGCCTTTGAAGAATGGGGACCCCCATCTCCACACCAGAGTCTCCATTCTGGGCTTTTGAGAAGCAGGGGCGTTTGGATTTTAACCTCCATACTTATTTTTTTATTTTTTTATTTTTTTTGGTTTTTTGAGACAGGGTTTCTCTATGTAGCTTTGGCACCTTTCCTGAAATTCATTCTGTAGACCAGGCTGTCCTTGAACTCACAGAGATCCACCTGCCTATGCCTCCTGCATGCTGGCATTAAAGGCGTGTGCCACCACTGCCTGGCTTAATCTCCATGCTTATTTTTTTTTTTTTTAACCAAGTCTTCAGTGCTGATGGAGCAAGACATGTGTTACTACAGGAGTAGTTTTTTGGGCACATCCAAAGACTGACCCTATCCCTTTCGTAGAGAGCTGTGCTAGAGAGAGCAAGGGCCTTCCAAGCAGGAAGATGCGGGTTTCCATTCAGCTTTATCATTTACTAGCAGGTTAGACTTGGACCAGTTACTCGGGATTTCTGAGTCTCAGTTTCTTCATTGGTGTCAAATGGAGTGGTCAGGAGAAGGAATGAGATCCTGGGGTGTTAGATGTGAGGGGACTGATCAGGGCAGGCACCGTGTGCGTACTGTTCATCTAGATCCGTGACTTCCTTTTCAAACCTCACAGCTGTTGCCATCTTGAGCCCTTTACTGTGTTATTTTCCATAAAAGCTGCTGTAAGACGCGGAAAGCATCCTCCTTCAGGCACTGGATGAACCTGGCTGGGGGCGGGGCAATCAACGCAGTAATAACACCCCAGGAGGTGCCAGGCACCGCAGTCTGCTTCGCGCGCGCACACACACACCTTATTCTCATGCAGCCCTCTCCATCGCCCTGTGAGCTAATCACTAGTACACTCAGGATAGTCCTCGTTTGTGCAAAATCCTGGCACCAAAGTGTTTCCCTTTCAGATTTTGGAATAGCTGCACATATAAAATGATAAATCTTGGAGGTGGGACCCAAGTCTAAACATGGAATTCACTTGTTTGACATATACCTTAAACACGTGGGCTGGAGGGAATTTTAGACACTACCTTTTAACAATTTCATTTTAATGTGGGATTCTGATGCCCTCATTTGGGGTTTTGGGGTGCTCCACTTGTATCCTCCCCATTTAGCAGACGAGAGTATTGAGGTTGGGAGATACCTAACAGCGGGTGTAGACATTCAAGTCAGGAATAGGTTTTGACTACCATTCTGCCCAGTAAACACAGTCATTTTCACAATAATTAAGCAAATACTTTATAGATAAGTGTCTTGTAAACAAAAGCAGGAGGTGGGTGTCTGTGTTCTTGGGGTCTCAGGATGGGTTTCTGTGATTTTCTTTCTGGTAGTTCTTATTCAGCCTATTATTATTATTATCATCATTATTGTGTGTGTGTGCGCGTGTGTGTGCGTGCGTGCGTGCGTGCGTGCGTGCGTGCGTGTGTGTGTGTGTGTGTGTGTGTGTGTGTGTGTGTAGAGGTCAGAGGACAACCTTGGATGAAGTTCCTCCTCAGGCTCTGTCAACCTCGTGTTTTTTGAGGCAGGGTCTCTCACTCGCTTGCCTGAGAGGTTGGGCTCTCTGGCCAGCAAGCCCTAGAGATCTACCTCCTTGAGTCCTGCAGTGTAAGCACACCCCCACCTCTGGCTCTCTTTCATGTAGGTTCTGGGGATCGAACCTGTAGCCTCCATTTGTGCGGTGAGAGCTTTCCTTGCTGAACCATCTCCTCCACCCTCTATCATTAATTTTAAACAAATGTTTCCTGTTGCACGCCCCGCCCCAATATATTATTATCTTACTGTACCTGCAGTATTAAAATTTAGCTGGAAGAGTGAACGCTGACTTCCACTCTATCTTAAAAACCAGTAGATGGATAAACCCAGCATTTTACATCCAAATCTGTTTAACCTGGCATTTCTAGGGTTGAGTCGCAAATTACAGGCAAAAAGTTGTGTAGTTCTATGGGGACATCTGTAAGCGAGATGGGAGGCCACAGGCCACAGCTTGTGATGGCACGCAGGGCTATTCCTAGATGAGAGAGCCCACAAGGGGATCTGGGAAGGACTGCCACAGAAGGTGAAATTACAGAGGACTCCTGGGGTCATCTGAGCTCATCGATCTGTAAGCTGGGACGGTATCGTTTCCTCATTCCACTGAGTGAGCCTCCGGGGTCATTGCTAACGTGAGGGGAAGACTGAGGCGCTCGGCCCCGCCCACTGAGTTCCAAATGGAAGCAATTGAAATGGTTCCTGTTGCCCAGCTTATGTCACAGAAGGAAACTGAGGCCCGAGGAAGTGAAACAGTTTGTGAAAGTCCCAAACTGGGAGCCACAAGTTCTTAATCATCCATTACCCCAAATTCCCCTGATGTCAAGTGTTCTCAGGGATTCCATGGCTGAGACGACACAGAGACAGACTGCAAGCCACACACACCGGAAGCTGTTCTAACAGCCACGGTAAAAAGTAAAACAAAACAAACATTGATATGAATCACTTATCAACTCAATGTAAAATTTAACAAACATGGATGAAGGACCTATTTTACCTCTTTGGGTATGGTATTTTGAGATCAGTGTGTATTTTAATACCAACAGCATAGCTCAACCTGGATTGGCTACATTTAGAGTCCCATGTGACTGGGAGGCCATTTTGGGCAGCACCGATCCAGATGGACAGTCCTTCACCTTATGATGTATGAGAACCACATGGGCAGTCTGTTCAACATACAGATTTGAGACGGAGTGGTGGTGGCGCACGCCTTTAATCCCAGCACTCAGGAGGTAGAGGCAGGTAGATCTCTGTGAGTTCAAGGCCAGCCTGGACTACAGAGGGAGTTCCAGGAAAGACACAAAACTACACAGAGAAACCCTGTCTCGAACCCCCCCCAAAAAAAACCAACCCCCAAAACAAACCAAAACAAAACAAATTTGCAGGCCTTGTCCAGAGTCTTCTACTCACTGGCTGGAGGTAAGGCTGGGAATCTGCTCCCCAACCAGCATTCCAGGGGCTTCTGAGGCAGCCATCTTGGATCTAGTAAGCTCAGAAAATGCAGCCTAGTTACTCACTGTGTTTAACAGAGATTCGTGGCTAGGCAGGAGGACACACCCGCAATTCACACCCGGCAGGAAAGCCAGCTCTTTGTTAGCAAAGTCTGAGTTAAAAACAGTATTTGATCAGTTTAGATGAATTACTTTCAGGTATGAAGAGTAAACACAGATGTCTTTCCGAACAGACAGGTCTTCCTTCAGAGACTAGACAAGACTTCCTGATTAAATGCAAGGAATATTCATCTACACACACAGAGTTCAACTCTCAACAGTCCAGTTTATTTTCCTAAAACGAAACCAACTTTCAATCACGCCTGCAATACCAATTAACACTCAACAGAGTCGGCGGGAACTCTGCCTTTGCTGAACGGGCTAAGTGTAGGAGACACTCTCAAAAGAGCTTTAATTAAACACCCTCTGTATGCCAGACACAGCCCTAGGCAGCTTCTAAGTCACAGAGGTGAGAACTGGAGAAAAATGTGCTTCACTGGTAAGGAAGAGAAGGGGCTGATGAAGCCGGACTCTCCCAGAGCCCGGAGGCTCACAGATATCCCATCCATAGCCAACACTCACCAAGTCTCACCTCATCTGGGCATCCCTTAGCCTGGTCAAGGAGTCACACGAAATTAACCACCACAATCCGTGCATTGTGGAGGCACAGGGAGACGCGAGTTCTTACCCACCATGTGTCTGTCTGCGGACCTCAGACACAGCCCGAAGCAGTGTTCACTTAAACAGCACTCACACTAGATTTGGAACCACACCGAGAAGATTAGCTTGGCCCCTGTGCAAGGATGACATGTGAATTCGTGAAGTGGTCCATATTTGAAAAAACAAAAAACCAAAAGTGACCTGAAGCAAATATAGAAAAAAAAAACAAAAAACATTTTATTTGCTAATTCAGGATGGTAGAAGTGTTTACTAGACCATTTCTCAAATCTACGAAAAATGTCCAGATTTTTTTATTTGGAGGGGAAAACAAAAAGATTAGATGGGGTGGGTGAGAACCTAATGGAAGTCTTGGGAAGCATTTTCCCAAGCCCACCATCTACCTCTGCCCAAAAGAGGAGCATGCAGGTAGTTCTACAATACCCCAGAGGCTCCCCTGGCCTCTGGTGTGGTACAGCATCACTCATGAGGACCACTCAATTTCTCTACAAAGACAAATAAATAATTCTTTCCTTGTCAGCCCTGAATCCCCACCAAAGCTGAGGAGGGCGTGTCCCACTTATTTAACATAAGTTTCTCTTTAGATCCACCTCCAAGGATGACACTCATCGGATTGGCTCCTACAGCATTACCGGGTGCATAACTTCGCGCAAAGCATCCTGCCAGGTTTACCGCCGCCGTACCAGGCCACAGCAGACACACTCGGGGAGCTGTGATAGGCGAGCTGGGGTGGCTCTTGGTAATGCGGTACTTCCCCCATGTCTGGCAAAGAGCTCTGTGGTCACAGAGAAAAGGCTACGAGTGATGGATGGGACTGTGTGAAAGAGAGGCAACGTCTCCTCAGCACCAGGTCTGAAGTCACATGACATCAGCCTGGAAGAGTCCCCTCATACCCAGGAACCATATCCTAGTCACTCATGTGTTTCTGGGGCTGTGCTCAGGGTAAGTATGTAGTGAATGCTTATTCAGTAACTAAACCATGAGGATGGGCGCTCTCTCTCTCTCTCTCTCTCTCAAGTTGTTCTCAAGATGACCTTCAGACACGTGTAAAATGAGAACCTGTGTGTGTAGGCGTTTTTGTCCCTCACTGGGACACAGTCATCTGATGGCTGCGGATTTTGAACTGGAACCAGATTTCACACAATTTCTTAGAACTGCTCTGCCCTGGGATGTCCACCACATAAGGTCTTAAGAGGCACTTAATGTGAAGCCTGCTGCACAGCCAACAGCTGGCACATGTACATTTACAAAATGGCAATTTTTATCATTGAGTCCCACGGCAAACCAGCTGGACAGGCAGCAGCAAGCCCATTTCACAGAACAGAAGACTGAGGTCCAGAAAAGTGCTGGTAATGTGTTCAAGGCCCACGCCTGGGATTGGGGGATGGTACCAGGCCCTGAAGGCTCTACATCCAGCATTCAAGGATTCCTAGTCCGCCAACTGCTGCCTGTTCCTAGGTGCTGACTCAAGGCTACCTTCAGCTCCTTCTCCAGCTGTTGTTTCTCACCCAGTGCGGGGTCTGACGATAACCCTCTCTGCTACCTGGAAGTTACTGACTTCATGGCTCAGAGGCCCAGGACGTGACTCAGGCCTGGAAAGTCAGACTTTCACGTCTAAGGCCAGGACTTAGCTCTGGTTAAGCACAGAGTGAGGGTGGAATGTTCTGGGGCAAAGCAAAGACTGGAAATTCCAAGGGGCTCCAAGAGCTCCCCACTGGAAGGGCTCTATAAACAGCTGGGCCTTTAACTGCCAGAACTCAAAGAAGCTCACTCTCTTCAGCCTGGAAAGTTCTCATGAAGCTCGCCCTCTGTCACCCTCCCATGTCACTGTACTGACCCGTCAGTCTAGCCCCACGTTATTTGTTAACTGACTGGCTCACTCCGTGGGCATGGTCTCATGTAGGATCCTGCTAGGCCATCCAGCCTGTCACCTAACTCCCTCCCTCCGAGACATCAGTGTCACACAGGGAGGGGGTAGAGGGTCTGACAGATGTGGGGAGGGCGTGAGGAGGCGGCAGCCAGCAAACAGGTTCTTGCTGGTCCGTAGAGCGGTCTCCAAGGCAGGCAGGAAGTGAAGAGCTCTGCCAGGCCCCACGGCAGGTCAGCGGCTGAGGTGGTTTCTGCTGGCCTTCTGAGCGACATATAACCACGACGCTGAAATGCCTCCTCCCCCACTGTTGGTACAACCCAAAGTTCCTGGTGGAACTTTCTGGTGGGTAGACACTCCTGTTAGAGGTCACATCTGTCACAACCCATACCATAGGCCAAATCCTACTAGTTGCCTATTTATTATTATTTTTTTTATTACTACAGTGTGTGCATGTGTGTGTATGCATGCGTGCAGGCGTGCTTATGTGTGGGGTATTTGGGCATGTGTGCGCGCTTGCATGGAAAGGCCAAAGAGCCACCCCAGCATCCCTCTTTAGACACTGCCCACCTTGGTGTTTGTTTGTTTGGAGACAGGGCCTGCCAATGGCCTGGAACTTGCTTAGAGACTCACCGGTCTCTGCCTTTCTAGTGCTGAAATCACAAGGGCATGCTCCCTTGCCGGGCCTCGTCTGTGGGTTCTGGGGAATCAAACTCAGGTCCTTGTACAGTAAATGCCTTACTCTCTGAGATATCTGCCCCGTCAGATTCGGTTTTTAATGGTCCTAGAGACAAGAAGACTTTTCAGATGCCTGAGTGGTTATGTTTTCATTACATAGTATTACTGTGTGTTTGCATGGGAGTGTGCATGGCCACGGGATTTGCACAGGGGTCAGAGGACAACTTTTGGGAGCTGGCTCAAGATCAGCCTGGACTGTCTCAAAACAAACACAAGAAAGAACAGCAAAAGCCCTCGCCGGTTTTTCTTACAGACTTGTGACATAACTCATTTAACTAAGCCCCTATTGTTGTACTGTGCAGTTTTTAGACAGTGTCTTATTAGAAATCACACAGCCCCTGGCTGAACGCCCAAGGGTTTTCAAGGCTTTCTTTCTGTATGAATACGAAGGTTGTTTTGAGAATATCTGAAAGATCTGTGTGTGTGTACCTGTGTGCGTACACTGGGGTGTGTGGTCCTGAGGCTGCATCTCCGTTATCCTGTACTGGCTTAGGGGCAGCAAGTTACTTAACTTCCTCCATCTTTGGTGTTTCTGTCAATCACATGGCTAGAACAGGGGCTGCTGTGGAGGGCTGTGAGGACTAAATCCATCAATACACCTGCAAACATTCGCAGCCACAGACCCCCTTGCTGAAGTCGGTCAGCATCTAGTTTGAACAGCAAGCTATTCCTTCAGAGCCCATCAGCCATGGCCGGTCTTCAGAAGGCTAGCAAACGGGAGAACAGGGCCAGAGGGTCTCAGCAAGCTCCCTCTGCCAAACAGACTGGGGTGCCGGAAGTACACAGAGGGATCCCAACTCACAAGCACACAAATAATTGAGACTCTCTGTTTTAGCAGTCTGAGAATTATAAGGGGCCCCCCGACACCATGCACAGAGGTGATAAGCAAAAACATGACCACACTGTTGCCAAACCCAAGCATAAACACTCACACGTCCACCAGGGGCAGGAGATGCAGGGCGGCAGCCCCACCCTCCAAGTGAAGCATTTGTGGAAAGGAGATCGTGGCCTATGCATGGAAGAATGCCGGGGCTACTGCTCAGGAACTGCTGTTGGTACTGCTAACATCTGAAGAAAACACGAGAGGAAATAGGTCTTTGGAACTCTCTGGAAAATGGCTATTGTGCACAGAAAGGGATCTAGAGCTGTACTGATCTTGAGTCCCACCTCAACTCGTCTCGGTCACATCTAAAGGTCGCCTGGGATCCTAGACGGTTTATTTAGTGCCTCTAATGTGCAAGTCACTTTCAAGAGGACAGCCAACGATTGTTGTGGCTTGATCGCCAGAGAGATAACAAGACAGACAGCACCCCACGTTCAAGACAAGGCTCTGAAACTCAAGTTGGTGTCAGGCAAGCGCCCTGTTGGTCCTTGAGTCCGAGGCCTTATCACAACTACTCTTAGTCCCTCGGAACCAGAGGCTGCTGCACTGGCTGCACGTCTGAGGCAACGAGACAGAAGGGCGCCTTGGAAGTAAGGACCCACCCATTTTTCATACCAGTCTTTGCAGAGAGAGTAAGAAACAAGACTCAACTTGCAAAACACCTAAACAAAACGACAGCATTCTAGTGTCTGACTCTGTTTGTTTTGGCTGGTGGATAAGTGCATAAAATACATTCCATATTGAAAGTGTAAAATGCAAGGTGATTCCCCAAAGATTTCACTCCAAATGCCTATTCTAACTGTAGAGAAGTTCATGGAGTTGGAATTTGGGTCTGATTAATTTTGGTGTGTGATTATTTTTTTTAACTTTTTTTTTTTTAAAGAATAGTTTATAAAATTAAAGACAAACAAAAAAAACCCCACCAATAAAACCCCAAAAGCTCCACTGAGAAGAGTCTTTCTTTTGAAACCACGGTATTCACGGTTGCAAGCCCTGACCGGAAGTTTTAAAGAGTCTGACAGGAAGTGACACATCCTGACTGAGCTTGTGTGGGCCCAGCCCCAGAGCCAAGTCTCCCTCTCTTTATCACAGCCATCATGAACCACCTACTTGGTCCTTGGCACCTTCTGTACCCGAGGGAGTAGATGACTGTCTCCCACAATACAACTGTCCTGTAGCCTGGCCTCTGGATCATGGCCAGGGAGATCTGACTTTTAGAAAAAGTCATGTCACTCCTGTGAATCATCGTGTGGAAATGCCGGCTCCTATTAGAACATGGGTAAGTTCCTGCTTGAGAAGTTCCCAAATGTCACAAGAGGAATTTCGGAAATACCCTCCCCCGTCTCAGTGAGTGTCCAAGCAGAGGGCACAGGACCAGCCCCAGCAGGGCCAGGGCTTCTGATTCTGACTCAGCTCGCTCCATAGGGAAGTCCGACACAACCTGGCTCTGCCACCACAGCCCTACCTGATAGGCTCCCGTGGTGCCACGCCATCCTCACAGTGGGCTTGGGAGCAGTGCACACCCACAGGATGGGGACGAAGCTGCACTAGGCTGAGAGCCACACTGAACCACACAGCTAATGAGTCTTCAAATCCCTGGTTAGCAACGCTAACACTAGGCCTAATGATTAATGTTTTAAAAAGTATAGAAAAGTGTGTGAAATTTATCATC